TGGAAGCAAGAGTGGCATCTACTTCTGTAAACAGCTTGCCCCAGAAACCCTATGAACCTGGAGAACAGATGAAAGTCATGCATGCAAGTGTCGAGGACTTTTGTTTATAGGATTGCTATGAGTCACCTGTGTCTCAATGACACTTAACAACACAACAACAGCCTGGGACGAAGGGAAGACAGGTCTTAGGAAGTTTGACAAGATATTAATAAATAATCCTTTCCAAGAATGAGGAGGAAAGTGATAGTGCTGAGTGATGTGGCATGTAACCATGAACTTACATGTAATTCATCAAACTGACAACTCAGTAATATACCAAGTTCAGAGCTAAGAGTGACAGAACAGAGGATGTTTGAAAGAGTGACTCCAAGTCGGACTAAGAGCTCCAAGTTGGATAAGGAGTACAGGCAAGTGGGGGTGGTTAGTAGAGTGGGAGTTACAAATTTAAACAACAGTGTGATTATTAGAAGAAACTCTGAAAAACTGAGATATGGGTAACTCTCTGAAAAACTGAGATATGGGTAACTCATTATATGTGATTACATGTAAATAAATACATGAAGAAGAATGTGGCATCAAGATAGGAAGAGTCATCATCAACCTGCATTATGCACAAGACACAACCTTGCTTGCTGAAAGCGAGGCACTGAAACACTTGCAGCAGATCAAAGACTACAGCCTTAATGTGGATTACATCTCAACATCAAGAAGACAAAAATCCTTACCAATGGACTGATAGATAACATCAGGATAGAAAGAGAAAAGTTTGAAATGATCACAGTGGCACCAGTGATAAAGAAGTCAAGAAATCCAAAATACTGAGGTGCAATGATGCCAGTTTAAAGATTTAGGTGCACCTGATCTAGGTCATGGTCTTTTCAATTACTTGCTATACATCTGAGAGCTGGTAAGGATGGGAGAAGCAGCCTTTGAATTATTGCATTGGAGAAGAATACTGAATATCCCATGGACTACCAAAAGAAATGTCTTGGAGAGGTATGGCCAGGGCGTTCTTTGGAGACAAGGATGGTGAAGCTTCATCTCCCAAACTCAGGGCATGTTGTTGTTGTTGTTATGTGCTGTCAAGTGATTTGCGATTCACAGTGACCCTATGCACAACAGCTCTGAACCCTATTCTACGCAGAGCCAATTTCACTGTCTCTAATACACACTCATTACCCCAGTTATTGTCGTCAATCCATCTCATTTGGGGTTTTCCTCTCCTGTGCTGTTCCTCCACCCTTCCAAATATGATATCCTTCTCCAAAGCCTAGCCCCTCCTGGCTACATGACCAAAGAATGTGAGACAAAGTCTCAAAATTCTAACCTCCAAGGAGCAGCCTGGTTTCACCTTCTGTAGGCCAGACTTGTTATTTGTCTTGGCAGCCCATGATATGTTCAATACTCTTCTCCAACACTACAAAGCAGAGGCATCAATTCTTCCTCTATAATCCTTGGTTACTGTCCAGTTCTTTTTTTTTTTTTTCTGTCCAGTTCTCTGATGTACAGCAAAAAATTGCAAAGACCATGGCCCAAATTAGGTGCACTTAAGTCTCTAGATTGACAACCTTGCTCTTCAGCACTGTGCGAAGGTCCCCAACAACAGATTTCCCTAATCCAATTCATCTTTTGGTTTCCTGACTGCTGGTTCCAAGAGTGTTGCTAGATGTGGCGATTCCTTGGAAAAAGGCCTCAGTTCAGTCGTACTTAAAATCCTTTTGCATTCCTATTCTTTGTTATATTTCCTTCAACTTCTACCTGCAACAACCTCAAGAGTATTTACTTAAAATAACAGAAAAGATCCAAATGAGTATGTGGTTTGACTCCTGTAAGTCTATCATCTGAACAACCTAAGGATAAGAAAACATCCTGCAGGCGAAGCTGTCAAGTTCAGCATTTCTCACTCCTACTAAACTCTGACAATAGGAATCCCAGAACACTTGATCGTGCTAATGCGAAACCTATAATTGGACCAGGACGCAGTGGTCAGGACAGAGCAAGGAAACACTGCATGGTTCAAAATTGGGATGGGTGTACACCAGGGATGTGTCCTGTCTTCATACCTTTTCAACCTGTATGCAGAACAGATCATCTGGGAGGCTGGGCGCTATGAGGAGAAATGTGACATCAGGATTGGTGGAAGATCCATCAATAACCTGTTTATGCAGATGACACGACCCTGCTTGCTGAAACTGAGGAGGACCTGAAGTGCTTGCTGCAGTGGGTCAAGGACTGCAGCCTTCAATATGGATTGAGGTGCAATGTCAAGAAGACAAAGATTCTCACCACCGGACCAATTGGCAGCATCAGAATGGATGGTGAAGAGATTGAGACTGTTCACAACTTTAGTCTGCTTGGCTCAACCGTCAACACCTTTGGCACTAGCAGCCAGGAAACTAAAAGACATACTGCGATAAGAAAGGTTGCTGTTAGAGACCTCTCCAAAGTACTAAAGAGCAAGAATGTAACTCTGGAGACTAAGGTGTGTCTGATACAGGCCATGGTCTTTGCAATCACTTGCTATGCATCAGAGAGCTGGACAATGACTAGGGAGAAAGAAGGAGAATTGATGCCTTTGAGCTGTGGTATTGGAGAAGAGTGCTGAGAGTGCCATGGACTGCTAAGAAAACAAACAGATTCATCCAGGAGAGGGTTAAACCAGGCTGCTCCTTGAAGGCAAGGATTCTGAAGCTTTGTCTGACATACTTTGAACATGTTGCCAGGAGGGACCAGTCCTTGGAGAGGGGCGTCATTCCTGGGAAGGTGGAGGGGCAGCGCAGGAGAGGGGAGACCCTCAATGAGATGGATTGTTTCTGTGACTGGGTTAATAGGGGATAGGGGTGTCTGAGACAGTGAGAGTGGCACAGGATAGAGCAGGGTTTAGGGCTCTTGTATACAGGGTCGCTATGAGTGGCAGGCGACTCGAAGGCACATAACAACAACAACAACAACTAAAACGTTAATAAACCTCAAAGTAGTGTGTGTGATTTGGTGCCCCAACACTAACTGCTTTCACAGAGAAAAAAAAAATCGAGATTCTGAAAGTAAGTCACCGAACATTTCGGAGCCTGGAGTGGGACAATTCCCTACTTTCCTCTAACAGCTGGTCAAAGTAGAGAAAGGCAATTCTGATTGCTTGCAGACGATTGCTGAATAATCGCAATCAACTGCCAGCGTCCTGTCCATCAATCAGTCCTCCCGCCCCACCACACACAGGGAGAACTGGAGGGGCGCTCCAGCAGAGAAGCAGTCTGTCCCCCAAGGGGCACCCTCAGGCCAGGGGCACCCTCAGGCCAGGGGCAGGCGGGCTGGCGGGGGCAGGCGCTGCATGCTCAGGCTCGGGGGGTCGCAGGCCGAGGGGAGCTGCGGGCTACGTGGGGTGGGGGCTTCGGAAGGCCAGGGTGGCCCCGCCGCCCCGTCCAGCCTGACGATGTCTCCGCAGCCGGGCCACTCACACTTTGTACGGCAGCCTCGGGTCCGACGTTAGCGTGATCTTAAAGGAAACCTTCGACCTGAGGAGGAGAGCGGGATACAGTTAGGATCGGGCAGCAGCGCCGGGAACTCGGGCGCTCAGAAGTGGATACGTACATGGTGCTCCAACTTGGGGTTGACACCTCACACGGATTTTCCGGGTCTCTCCACTTCCTCTACGGGTCTGGGGAGGGCCGCCCCGCCCCCTTAGAACACGTCTCCCTCACAGCCCAAGGACCTCCAAGTGTGCTGCTGTTCGTGATAGTGCCTGAAAGATATCTCCAGATTTTCTTCAAAATACAACTATATCTAAGATATATCTAATATTTTTCAATTTACCCGTGACATATAAGAACATGGAATGTATAAAGAGACTTATTCTCTAATTTCAATTATTTACTGTAGAAATTTTAGTCAGGCAGTGTAGCGGCGGGCACATATGGGATGCCTTTAGGCCCCAGCTGTCAGAATGGGGTAAGTGAATAGAGAAAGGGGCGGAAGAGCACATGGGGAGGCGGGGTCAAGGATAAAGAGGGCGTGGCTGAGGAGGGTTAGGAGGCGGGGCCGAGGATGTAAAGGAGTATGACCGAGGGTGGGGAGGTGGGCGTGGCAGGGGTGTGGGTGGTGAGCGTGACCTAGAGGCGGGGCCAGGGGAGACAAGTCTCCAAGTTACTCAGACAACGTGGCCTCAGGATTGCCAATCAATTTTCTACAAACTGGAATCTTAATTAACTTTAGTGTTTGTATTCTATATTTCCATTATCCCAACCATTATTTCATATTTTTTCCTTTCACATTTTACTCTAAACACTGACTTTGAGTAATATTTGTTGACAACAAAATCATCACAGTAGCAGGTAACAGCAGTCATTCCACATTCTACAGTGTTGGTGCTGTTGAAATAGGCAAAGTCCTTATCACCAGAAAAACTTATTGTCTAGTGTTGAGAAGGCTTTTTTTATGATGTTGTTAAGTGAAATTCGAGTCCAGTATGACTCACAGAGAGACCAGATATATACAACAGATATGAACTGTGTCCTACCAATCATCCTCCTAACACGCTTGATCTCATTGCCCCAGTTACTATATTAATTCATCTCCTTGAGAGTCTTCCTCTCTTTTTCCGACCCTAAATCTTTGCAAGCATGATGTCCCTCTGCAAGAATACCCTCTCCTAACATGTCCAAAGTATGTGAGGGAAAGCTTCACCCTCCTTGTCTCTAATGAACAGAAGATTTCAAAAGGCAGTTTGAGAAGACAAAGTATTACAATGGAATATTCAAACAACTGGAGGTGGAGAATATAAAGGGAAGAATTAATTCACCATTTCTCAAGCTGAAAGA